GTTGCAGTGCACTCTCCCTTCCTTTGTGGTCAGTTCTCATAAATGTTATCAGATTGTCAGAGTGAGCTGCATGAGCTGCATTCGGTACATGGTACAGGAAGACCATTCCAAATCTACATATTGTTGTGAATGCTACCTAGCCCAGCTTCCTGTGTTTTTTCCTCTTAGACTTAGCAAGTTAGATATCTTCCTCAAAAAAATTTAGTCTAAGAAATAATCTTCAAAGTCTATATGAACTCTCTTTCTAAGAACCAGGCAGGATGCAAGAAGAAACACTCTGATGCACAACTTGTGAACAAACCAGATACCAAAGGGTTATCTTTCCATAATTCAGCACGCAATGTTCACTATCATTATACACAAGATCAAAACATTACTCTATTTCTCTGTAATCTCACATAATCTCTTCTTTGCAAAAGGTGAAGAACAAATCCTGCAAAACCACTTTAAAGAGGCAAGCTTTATCAAACCTAAAAGATGGCTTCAATTATTTAGCTGGAAGTAGTCATCTAGAAGTTGATATCTACGAGGTAGATTGACACTACGGTGTAATTCAATAATTGGAACTTCTCTTGCCATTTAACAAAAAGAGATAGACCAAAGGGATATGTTGTATTGGATCAAAACAATCTGCACCTCTGTTTGTGGCACATGCTCATCTTTCCAACTGAATTAAATGTTTTACATGGGCAGAAGGCATTTTCTGAAGAAGGGTCTAGGCCTGAAACGTCAGCTTTCCTGCTCCTGTGATGCTGCTTGGCCTGCTGTGTTCATCCAGCTCCATACTTTGTTATCTCATTTTACATGAGCAATTGCTTTTTGCTAATTCAGAATTCACAATAAAAGCCTCACTCACTGATGTAAATCAGAGGGAATTGTGGTCACATTTCAACGTGAATTGTACAATTTCTTACCATAACATCAGCAGTGGTCAGAAAAACACCAAACTTTTACAGAAGTCCTCCGAGCTTTCTGATGAGCATGTTCCCAAACTTAAGATAGATAATTGGAAGACACCTTGTGGGAATTCTTGAAGCAGACATTTTGTGCAAGCAATTTGTGGTTTAACCTTGTTGCAGGATGTACATATATGTATGTAGTGAGAATGGAGCGTATTGTTAACGTGACTGGGCTAATAATTTATAAAAGTCCAGGAGAAAGTTCAAATACTACCATGACAGTTTCAAACCTGGATTTGATTTAAAATCTGGAAATAAACAAAAAAATAGTAGAACAGAATATGAGAATCCAGTTTAATAAAGATCCAAAGCAAAAACCAAAAGTGCTGGAGAAACTCAGCAGATCCAGTGGAGAGACAGACAGAGTTAATGCTTTGAGTTTAGAGATCCCTTTCTCAGAACTGTTCTGAACTCCAGTTCTGAAGGAGGATCACTGGACTTGAAACATTAACTCTGTTTCTCTCGCCACAGATGCTGCCAGACCTGCTGCAATTCCCTGCAGCACTTTCTGTTTTTGTTTCAGAATTCCAGCATCTTTGGTTTTCTTTGTTTTATATAATTCATAAAGATCCAAACTGGTTCATAAAATGTTCTTCAAGGAAGCAGTCTGCCATCTTTACCTGGTTTTGGTGTATATACGCGGCAGGCTTGCATGAACATAGTTGCTACTTAACTGGAGTGGCCTAGCATGCCACATAGTCATTTAAAAGCTCACAGAAATTAAGGATAGACAATAAACAAACTCCAACATCTTGGGAACAAACAAGAAAATCTCCTAGATTTGTTACTGGAAGAATCCTGAACTACAACCCCATACAGGGTGCACTATTTGAATTGTATAAATACAGCTCAAATCTCTTGGACCAAACCCCCTGTGATTCACAAAGACTGACTGTTTAGTCAGTTTATGGGAATCAGCCTCAAAGCACACGCCTGTAGTGTATCACAGGCTGCTGTGAACTGATGCAGCTTTACATTATTTAGCACTGCCCTGCAAATACATTCTATTGGGAATTCAAGTGCCACTGGAAGTATTCACAGCATACCAGCACTATGAGGTCTTGAAGTCTCCCCAAGGAGCATAAATTTCTTTGGGATTTTGAAGACAGACAAGGGAAATGGACAAGAAATAAAAATATAATTGTTTTATACACATTGTAGTAACCATTTAGAACGAAGTCTGGAAGTAGACAATGCTGGCAAAATCAAAAAGGAAACTAGACTAGTTTTTGATATTAAAAAATGCCGAGAAGAACAAGAGACAAAAGAACTCTGACGCTTTTTGTGCCTTGGGACTAGTCATATGAACTGCAGCAGTCTCTACTGATCTTGGATAGGATTCTATACTTGGAAAAGAAGACACAAGAAAGATGGATGTGTTCCATTCTACATCAGTCTCTGATACAGCACCTGTTTTCATTATCACAAAATGCCAGAACAGATTTCAAAAAATACTTTAAAACATTTGGGTGGAACACACAAGTGTTAAAAATACTTATGTGGAGTATCTGTTTGAGCCTGGATTAGATTCAGGGAAGTGAGAGTAAACTCTGATCTAGTAATGTCCCTCTTGTTGGCAGGCAGCCCCTTGTAATCAAGGATGACTTGCTTCCACGTCAAAATGGAGTTCTCTGGTCACCAAAGGGCCCCATGCATGCCCTCCAGTCTCTGTCACAGGAGGAGCAGACAGTGGCTGGGGGAGCAGGAGGGAGGGATGCCTGGGTTGCCATGCATTTCCTTCTCTGTCGACACTTAACTTCAGCTTGTCGTGGCGATGAGATTCAATGTGTACACATCCTTCCCGAATGCTTTCCCTCCACTTCAGGAGGTCTCGGGCCCGGGTTTCCCAGTTGTTGTTGGGAATGTTGCTTTTCTTCAAGAAGGCTTTGAGAGAGTGTCCTTGAAGGGTTTCCTCTACCCTCCAGAGGCCTGCTCGCCATGTCAAAGCCCTGGGAGGAGCTCTTGTTTTGGGAGTCCCAACTCAGGCACGTGGACGATGCAGTCTGCCCAGCAGAGCTAAATGAGCACAGTCACATTTTGATGCTGGTAACATGTTGGCTTCAATGAGAACAGTGACATTGTGGTGCCTACTCTGTCAATTAATTTGCAGGATCTTGAACAGGCAGCACTGGTAGTACTTCTCCAGGGTTTATGAGGTGTCCATTGTATAGTTCATATTTCTGCGCCACTGCTCAGTAAATCATCAGCTTGGTACCAGGTTTCAGATCCTGGCCATCAAATACTCTCTTCCTCAGGTGAGGCTGTGTTGGTACAATGAAGGTGGTTTTGAAACTCATTGATATTTGCTTGTTTACAGTAAGCTCCCTAGTTATGGAAAATGGTCCATGTTGTCCAAGATTTGTCATGGATTTTGATAATCTTGGACTGGGCATTGCAGGTGGCAAGTGCAGTTTGATACAAGGCCATTGCTTAAATGAAAGTTTAGCGTGCAGCCCATGCTCTCGTGTACCTCACTAAAAGTGTTGATGAAGCTCGGCCTCGGAGTGTGCATGTGCAAGAATTGAATGCATACAACTGTCAAATGACACGAGCTTGGATCTGGCATGCTGGTTGAACAAGTTCCAATTAGTTTAGTAGATTAGCTCCATTCCAGCAGGGACTTTGCTGAGGGTGGGATGAAGCATTGTAATACAAAAAATAGTCCAAGAAGAACATTGATACAACCTGGCATGACCCCAGTTTGAATGTGAATTGGCTCTGCGGTAATAGCTCTACCACTTAGCCATCATTATAGTATAATCCTTACACTATCTACTTAATCTATATTGGATGCACAGTCACAATCCCAACTTCGGTTTTAATAATGCAACTTTAACTATTGAGGGGAGAAGGGATATGAAATTCATAGGATTGCAAAATCGTAAATGGATTCTTTGCCAACTTGGTTAAGTGTCATGCTTGGGGCAAACCTTTTCTCTTGATACCTTTGTTATTTGGAGACTGTGTGACATTTTAAAATCATGTTGCATGTGAGAGATAGCTCCTAGCCTCATGCAGATCGGTAACTGTCTGAGAAACAGAAATATCCTTCTTGCAATGTACAAGTCAAGAAGTTTTTACTACACATATTGAAGAGGCAATCCCATGAACACTTTTCCTAATAGACATTGGGAATTTGCAGATCTGAACAAATAATAGACTACTCAGGACTGGGTAAGCTTTGCCCTGTTAGACAGCAGATCTCCACTGCAAAACTACTCAAACAGAAGGAAGATGACAGCCATGCTAAATTCCTCCATCACAATGTTAACATTAATTTGCTTCACTTCTAAGCAGACAAAGTATCATCTCTTCAGTTACAGTCACAATCACAATTGCATTGCTCTATTTGGATGGTCAGGCACCTTTTCTAACTGCAGTCCATTTCTCAGTGGTACACAGCACTGTCAACTCAATAGAAGATTATGGCTGCACGACCACTGTATGATAAGATTGTACCTGCTGTATTATAATTAGAATTTGAAACGTGGTGGGGGACAATGCACACTTTGATACCAGAAAGACAGACCTGTAATTACATATCACCATTTCTGAGTTCATAGTGTCCCAAAGTACTTTACCTGTGAAGTTTATTCACAGTTGTAATGTAGGAAATAAAACATCCAATGTGTGTATAGCAAGCTCCAAAGTGATAATGACCAGGTAAACTAGTTTAGTGGTGTTGGTGGAGGTAAAAAGGTGAACTTCAATGCTTTTCTTCAAAATATAGTGTCATGGAGTCTTTTAAGTTTACCCCAGTGAGCAGATGGCATTTTAGTTTAAAATATCATCCAAAAACTGGCCCCTCCAACAGTGCAGTACTCCTTCAGTACTGCCCTGCAATTGTTGGCCTAGATACTGTGCTCAAGTCTCTAGAGTAGGACCCGATTGCACAATTTCTAAGTTCACATGTGAGACGGCTACCACTGAGTCACAGCTGACGCCAGCGTTAGCTGATCTAGATCTTTGGTGGTTCCGATTCATTATGATTAAAAGCAGGTTTTGAAGCTGTGGTGTGGTGACTGGTTGCTTTACACTGACCTGAAATGAGATTTCCCATTGTTCCACTGGGTACAAACAAGGCATCCTCCATCCCAAACAGCTCAGCAGCTTGCCTCTGAAGCTCTGTGAGGGGAAAAAGCAAGAGTATCCAGTTTGGATGTTAATAGAGGATTGCCATAAAGCCACTGATTTATTTAATCATTTCTCTAATTATTTTTATTCAGTGCATCTTCCATTTCTTACTTATTTTTAAAGCCTTATGTACTTCTTTGATGAAATTCTTAGATTTCTTAAAAATAATGGGGAGGCATGTTAGTTTCATGTATCAAATGGTGTAAATTGATTAGCAAGTTCTAGAGATAAATAACTCATGACATATCGCTTAATTTCTGAATTTACACCAATAATGATGATATGTGCTGTTAATATGCCATGATTTTTCCAGTAGATCTGCTGCAAAGAAAACTAACAATCCACTTCAATCCTGATAGAGTTCCAGTTTGTTGGATGGGCATCAGATGAAAGCAATATTTGCTTTGGATATACGGGGAATGTGAAAAGAGCTTTGAAAAGCAACATTCAAGAAATGCAATAAAAAACAGGAATTGCCGGAAAAGCTCAGCAGGTCTGGCAGATGCTGCCAGACCTGCTGAGCTTTTCCAGCAATTTCTGTTTTATTTATGGATTTGCAGCAACTACAGTTCTTTTGGTTTTTATTCACGAAATGAAATTTGTCTGTATCTTGATTTCTCACTCAAAGAATAACAAGTGAGATCCTGGTATTTACAGAGATGGTCCAAACAAGGCAAGAGGTAGTGACAAAATCATTGAAATGATGGAAAAACCAGGATTCTTTTAAAACAGGAATGACATCTTTTTTTACGTTGGGAACATAAACCGTGTCTTAAGAGAAGTTAATGTGAGGACAAGTTCAGCCAACTAGAGAAAGGTGCTGTTGAAATTGAGGCTGGTTGAGAAGTGAATGCTCAAAAACCCTCAAGGACGGAACCTGAGAAAACATTAATCTTCCTTTAGAGCAAAGCAGAGCACAACATTAAGGTGATTAAGAAACTGCATGGCCATTATCATGCTAACAGTTCTTGATTAAATTTTACTGATCCACATGAATAGTGTGGTGTTGGTATTATAGGGTGTTTGAAGACAGGAAATAGGGTCAGATGTGCAAGAGGAACTATTTGCCTGAGGAAGTATACAAGGAGACACAGGCTGCATAAGAATCATTTCAAGAGTTGGATTTCTTCAAGTGATTGCACAGGGGGATCCAATGAGAGTCACTGTTACTGACATACAGGGCATACATTCCGTGGTACATGTGAGAGAGGTAGGGGGTCCATGAAACATTGAAAGAAATAGAAAAAACAGTAAGTAACATCGTCAAAGGACACGTACCCGAACATTCACTCACTCACTGGTTGATTCCAAATATGTAGAAGAACCTGTTGAAGCTTTTCCAGTATTTTCCGGTTTCACAATAGAGTTGGGTTTGACTCAGGTTATGATCTCTCCATGGCTTTGTTTGCTTTCAAACCACAAAAAAAGTTCCTGCCAAATTACAATACTTAATTTCCCACTCTTCCGATGTTAGATTTACTGTTTTACAAGTTAATGAATCGTGTCCTTTATTCTTGGAACAAAAGGAATACGTGAGCCACTCCCTTGGTATCAGGGCAGGCACTGTGTGTTTACACAACACCTACAATTGTTAATCAATATTACCACTTCTGTTACTCAATCCTTACATTCTCAAGTGCATTGCAACTGCTTTACCTATTCAATTAATCTCATTCCTTGGTACCTTTCACATAGCCTTGCAATTTTTTTTCTCCTTCTGGTGATTATCCAGTTCTGTTTTGAATGTTATAACAGGATCTTAGTCTTGAAAATTCCAGTTCACCTCCAACATCCAAAAGCCTCTGGGGAATCTTCCCTAATGTCTTCTGCAAGTCTAGATAGGAAACAGCAGGAGGCCATTTACCTCTGAGAATGTTCTACCATTCCATTAGACTGTGACTGATGTGTACCTTAACTATTTGGTCTAACTTGATCCACACCCAATAAAAATATATTGATTCAGTCCTGAAAATGTAATTGACTCAGTATTCAAAACAGCCTTTTTAGACAGGCTCACCGATCTTTGTGTGAAGGAATGGTTCTTGATTTCACACCTGGAAACTTGGATAAGGAAATCTTTAATTATTTTCACAGCTGTGGAATCAGCTGCCAGAGGAAGTGGTGGAGGTTGGCACAATTACAACATTTAAAAAGCATCTGGATCAGTACATGAATATGAAAGGTTTAGAGGGATATGGGCCAAATGCTGGCAAATGGGACTAGATCAGTTTAGGATATCTGGTCAGTATGGACGAGTTGGACTGAAGGGTCTGTTTCCATGTTGTATAGCTCTATGTCTCTATGCATCTATTATGATGAACTTCCTGGACAGATGGGACCTGAGCCTGGACCTTATGATCCAGAGGTAGGCACACTACCCTTGTAGCTCAAGGCCATTATGCCTTGAACCCATTTCGCCTATCTGATTAAAGGAAGATAGCAGACCATGAATTCCCAGGGAATTCCATTTGTTAGATCGTTCCAATCAGAGAACACTCCCTCACCATCTATCACCTGCATCCTATTTCAATCACAAGCTTATGATGCAAGGTCTCGTAATATTCTCACAGCGATGATTAAATGGATGGTTTTGCAGTTACCTTTCTCCCATCCTTCCTTCTTAATTAAGAGAAGGACATATGCAATTTTCTCCTTAAAAGGCATGACTCCTGATGCTACAGCGCTTTGGAAAAATCATGACTCACATTGGTAATTTCCTCACCATTTCTTTTAATACTCAGTGATGAGAATCATTTGGTCCTAGAGGCATGTTTATCTGAAGTGTGTTTACCACCACTAATTTTCTTGAACATAAATAAACAGGACACCGAGTTCCTCCCTTTAAATGTATTCTTACATTTTCTTGCTCCTTGTGTATTGTCCAATTTATAGACAAGTGTCACATGATTGGCTGATAAAATGACTTGAGTGCATAAGAGTGTCAAACAACATACATGCGATTGGGTTTTGAAGAGTTGCCCTGTAACTCAAAAAAGCCACCGGACTGTGAAACTGTGGTTTTTTTTCCAAGCAGAGCCTTAGTTTACAGCACGGCACACTGGATACTGTCCTCGGTGGGCAAATGCTGATTGTGAATAAATCAGGACAATGGAGAAGCCTCTCCGCAGCATCCATTTCACAAGTGACAAACTTTGCTGCTTTACTCATTGCATTTCCAGCAAGTTTGCATAAGGGTGTAATACTTGCTGGGAAGGAAAGTTTACATCTCTTTCCCACATATTAAATTTTATCCTTCCTGGTAGATTGTGCACGTCTTCAGCTCCTTAATGAGTCACTACCAGAAGGATAGGGTGATTAACACTACATGGCATTCTCGTATGTGCTTAATGCGAAGTACTGCTGAGCAGATGTTGTCTATTGTTTCAAAATATTACAGGCTGTTTAAACAATGTGTTGTGGTAAATCTTGGCATATTGCACAAGACAATTGAGCAGTTTATATTTGCAGCAACGATAAAATGGGATTTCTCTTCAGTGTGAAGAGGCACACATCTTAGGGCATTGTTAACAGGAGTAAATTAAACAGAAACCGCAATACTGCAGATTAAAAATAAGTTACTTTTAGAGTAAAAGTTAGGTAACATTTTTGAAACTCGACCAGGGCTGTCACTTTATCTGAAGGCATGTTGCCATTATATAAAGTGGCCATAGTCTGGCTGGACCAGAGGGCTGCTCTCATTTGAGAGAGGCAACTTCCAGTGGTTTAACCGGAGGGCCACCACACCTCAGGTGAGGGGAGAGGTTTAGAGTGTCCTTCATGGTAACATCGGCTAGTGCAGGAATTAAACCCACACCGTTGGCATCACTCTGCCCTGCAAACTGGCCTTCCAGCCAAGTGAGCTAACCAACCCCATTGTAAATGGGCTAATGAAGAAGAGACACTGACCTAAAGCATTACATCTGCCTGCACGTCTCCCCTCAGATGCGATCAGACCTGCTTAGTACTTTCATTATTTTCTGCTCCGATTGCAAATTTTATTTTGCATTTTATGTACACGTGCGTGTGTGTCACTCCAGGACAACTGCAGCCAAGATGTGGATTTGGAGGTGACTCGCTGTTTATCAGCACTGCTGCCTGACAGTGCCAGAGACCCTGGTTCGATTCCAGCCTCGGGTGACTGTCTGCGTGGAGTTTGCACGTTCCTCCCGTGTCTGCACAGGTTTCCTCCGGGTGATCCGGTTTCCTCCCACAGTCCAAAGACATGCAAGCTAGGTGGATTGGCCATGCTAAATTACCCATAGTGTCTACGGGTGTGCAGGTTAAGGTGGATGTTCCATGGGAAATGCAGGGTTATGGGAATCGGATAGGGGGCTGGGTCTTGGTGGAATGCTGTTTGGATGGTTGGTGCAGACTCGATGGGCCGAATGGCCTCTTTCAGCACTCTAGGGATTCTGTGATTCAACGGGCCACAGTAAGTTGAGCATATTAAAAAAGGTCCTTAACCATTTGTATAGCACAGAATACAACATCTTCGGCTAAATAGGATCAACGTTGAGAGCTCCTATTTTAAGTCTTCTTTAACTCCTTATTGTTATTAAAGTCGTAGATGCTGATAATAATCCAGAGCCCACTGAGTTGGCAGAAGCTGTGACCTTCATACTTTAAAATCACAGATTGGTGGGGAGATGGTGGCTTAGGAGTGATGTCACTGGCCTAGTGATCCACAAGCCAGACTAATTCCTTTGGGAGGGGAATGGGTTCAAATTCCACCATTGCAGTTGGTGGAATTTAAATTCAATTAACCGTTAGTTGTCATGCTCACCAGTACTGAGACTATTTGTCATCGACTGTTGTGAAAAACATCTGGTTTACTAAAGTCCCTTGCATCGTTACCCAGTAAGGTGTACACACTACTCCAGACCCACAGCAATGCGGTCAGCTATTAGCTGTCCACTGAAATAATCTAGCACACCACTTGGTTCCAGAGTAACTAACTGCTGGCCTTCTGGGGATGTCTACAACCCATGGAA